TAAAACAAGGCAATAAAATATCTGTTACTTTAAAAAGTTCAGAAAGGTTAAACAGTGTGCTCAAGGCTAGAGATAATAGTTTATTTATTTATTTTTTTAATATTTATTTATTTATTTTTCGGTGGACACAACATCTTTGCTTGTACGTGGTGCTGAGGATCGAACCCGGGCCGCACGCATGCCAGGCGAGCGCGCTACCACTTGAGCCACATCCCCAACCCCATTTTTTTTTTTTTTTAATTTTTTAAATATATTTTTTAGTTGTCAATGGACCTTTTATTTTATTTATATGCAGTGCTAGGGACCGAACTCAGGGACTCACACATGCCAAGCAAGCGCTCTACCACTGAGCCACTACTCCAGCCCCGAGATAATAGTTTAAAAGAGACAGAGAAGCCAGGCCTGATAGCGCACTCCTGTAATCCCAACAGCTACAGAGGATGAGGCAGGAGGATCGTGAGTTCAAAGCCAGCCTTGGCAATAGCAAGGCATTAAGCAACTCAGTGAGACCCTGTCTCTAAATAAATTTAAACACAAAATAGGGCTGGGGGTGTGGCTCAGTGGTCCAGTGCCCCTGAGTTCAATCCCCAGTCCCCCAAAAAAGAGAGAGGAAAAAAAGCTTGAAAATCTCTGAGCACAACAGGATAGCCAAAGAATTGCTGGCAGCAGCAAGGGACCAATTGAGTCCTGAAACTGTGACTTCCATGGTGGCATTAATCTCTGCTTTTGCATCTGTGTGTTCTGTGACAAGTTGGCAGCACAGAGCATTTCTATTGCAGAGTCAAGGCAATGGGAGGTTAAGATGGTGCCATGATGGCATTTTGCCACATGGAAGTAACAGAAGAACAATGAATCGTACAAGGAACTAAAAAACTGTTACAGCTGCATGGGGAAAGAAACAGAAGGACTCTGGATGGGGAGAATAAAGAGGAATAAAGGAACTGAAGAGTTGAAGAGCCAGTAGTAGTAGTAATTGTCAGAGTAGGTATTGGAGGCCCTGCAGGGTTGCCCATGCCTGCAGTCTGAAGTGGCTACTCACTAGGCTCAGGCAAGAGCACCACACATTTGAGGCCATCCTGGGCAATTGAGTGAGACCCTCTCTCAAAATAAACTAAAAGGTTAGGAATGTAGGTTGGTAGTAAAGTACTTGGCTAGCATGCCACCCTGGATATAGTCCCCAGTACCACACCACATACACACACAGAAAAAAACAGAGTGGGTGTGTGGGCACTGTTCAGAAGCATAGCCACTGGGGTCGGGAGAGGGGCACTGAGGACCAATAGTTAGCTGTAGTGTGCATGGGGCTGCAGGTCTCTGTGAGGAGGAACCCAGAGGAGCTAGGGTGTGGATAAGAGCATCATTAATGGGAGAGAGCCACTTTGCCATAGTGAGATGGAGTACCGTAGAGAGGGGGATTACAGTGGATGACGTGATTCTCCAAATAGCCCTGACATGTGTAGGTGGGAGAGCACATGGTGCAGGTAATGGAAGATACTGCTTCTGCTTTCTCTCATGTCCTCCTGTCCATCTCCTACAGATCGATGTGCACCTCCATGACGCCCTGGGTCGGCCCCATCAGTGTGGAACAATTCAGCTTGACTTCCAGCTGCCCCTGAGATTCAACCTCCAGTACAAGGGGTACAAAAGCTTTTCCCATCCCCCTTTCCCTTGACAGCCGATGGTGAGCAAGCAACTCCCACTCCTATTTTCACCCTAGAAACTGAATCAGACCTCCACATCTTCCCCTGCTAGGACTGTGCACCTAGAAGGTGATCTTATGTGCATAGTTTGTGATACTTTCACTCTTTTTCCTTCCAAGGCAGGCGGGGGCCCTGGAGCGGCCAGTCCTCATTCACAGAGCAGTGCTTGGTTCTGTGGAAAGGCTGTTGGGAGTGCTGGCAGAAAGCTGTGGGGGAAAATGGTGAGCTATCTGATGCTGGCCTTCACGACAGGGAGTTTATATTCCAGCTCCTGTCTCACTTCATGTCCCAGATCTGCTTCCTGCAGCTACACTTCTGGCCAGAGCCGAAATAAATACTTTGCCACCCTGTTTCCTCCCATCCAGGCCACTGTGGCTGTCCCCATTCCAGGTAGTGGTCATCCCTGTGGGAACGGAGCAAGAGGAATATGCCAGAGAGGTGAGGAGTTGGACTCAAGGAAGGGGCAGAAAGGGACAGTAGGGAGTCTGGTGCCAGCACTGGGTACGAAGAGGCTACACCAGCTAGTGGGAAGGGCACAGCCCTTAGAGCCACCAGACTGCACCTGAGTGGCAGCTCTCCTTTATGCTCTAAATTCTCTCCAAAAAGTAAAACCTGCTTTGTGCTCTCTGTATGTATAATGTATATTAGAATAAACAAATAACTTACTGTTTGAGACCTGCTGGGCATGGTGATACACACCTATGATCCCAGTGACCTGGGAAGCTGAGGCAAGATGAGGCAGGAGGACTGAAAGTTCAAGGTCAGCCTAGGTAACTTAGCAAGATCCTGCCTGAAAATAAAAAATCAAAATGAACATCTGGGGTTGTAGTTCAGTGGTGAGGTGTACACAAATGGATCTTGGGTAAAGCTGGTTTTATTTTTCCTTTCTAAAGAGAATCGAGAATATGGGTGGTCCCTACCAGAGGTGAGGGCGAGCAGCAGGCAAAGTCCAGGGGATAATGGAGGGCTTTCTCCAGTGAGAGTCGACACAGATGCTGTGGGTTGGGGATGGAGAGGAGGCCTCAGTATAGCAATGAGATGAGGAAAAAGATAATTTTTGTTATGGGGAGCACTGAGGCAGGGGATGAGGGATAGGAAGTGGGGCAGACCAAGGAAGAAGGATGTTTGACTGTCCTAGCTCCTCAGTCTTCCATTGAATTTATTTCTTGTCACCAAACATGTGTCCCAGATTCAACAGAATCTGCAGGCTGCAGGCCTTGTCAGCGACCTGGATGCTGATTCTGGAGTGACTCTCAGCCGGAGAGTGCGCCGGGCTCAGCTCGCCCACTACAATTTCCAGTTTGGTAAGAGAGAGGCAGCCCAGAACTTCGGAGCTGGGTCTCTCATTCTTCTTTAAGTTCCTTTACCCTGTGCCTCCTCACAGCCACTTCTGTCCCTCAGAACAGTTTTCCTCTTATTAACCCCACCCTAGAGGGGTTCTTTGGGATTAATTAACAAAGGAAATATCAAAGAGAAAGGGGACCGGAAGGGTTAGTGAGGCATTAATTAATTAGCCTTGTTTATTCTGCACATGAATGGAGTCAGCCCTAAGGATTAAGGAGAAAGCCTTAAGGAGAAAAGTCTAGCACTGCCTTGCTCTCTTCACTCTCCACAGTTCAGAGCTCTTGAAGATAAGGAACAGAAATTCCTCCACCTGATTCTCTAGTTTGGCATACGCCCCTCACCTACCAGCACCTGGAGCAAGCCACCCCACAGTCCATGGACTTGCAAACACATGTGTCCCAGTCCTGCTGTCTTCCCCTTCCTCTACCTCCGCCTCCCACCCCACTGCTTGCCCCACATTTCTCAGTCCCACATACCATTTCTCTGTGTCTAGTTCTTGGTCTGTTTGGCTCTCTCTGGCTGACTCTAGTATCTCTGACCCTGGGGCTCCTGACCAGAAATGATAATAATGTTCCAGGCTCCGCATTCCTTATCTTCTCAGGATGAGCAGTGAACTGGAGAGAAGGCACAGCTAAATATATTCTTTAAACCATATCTAGACTCTGCTTCCACCCTTCCTAAAGATTTAAGTCTGCAAAGTTTCTGCAAAGCAAAAGGAAATATCCCATGTCGGTGACTTTATCCTGAGATTCCCAAACCTCCCTTCCTCTTCCTGCAGTGGTTGGCCAGCAAGAGCAGAGTAAGAGAACAGTGAACATACGGACTCGCAGTAATCGCCGACTTGGGGAGTGGGACTTGACCAAGGCTGTGCAACGGCTGCTGGAGCTACAGAATACCAGGGTCCCCAATGCTGAGGAAATCTTCTGAGCTTTGTTCATACATGAGACAGAGACCTGCAAGAGCCGTCAGCCTCCCTGATAAACCCGAGCCCTACTAACAGCCTGGAATTGCATGTGTCTGCTCTCCTGAAAAGACTTGGGGGCTGGGGAGGCAGTTCAGTGGCAGAGCACTTGCCTAGCAAGCATGAGGTACTGGGTTCTATTCCCAGCAATGCAAAAAGAGACTTGGTTTGGGGACCCCGCAGCGGGAGGGAAGATATGGTATTTGAATGTGAGGAGAATGAAATGGAAAAAATAAACTTGAAGCTGCTATATTTGTGTCTGATCTCTGACTCCTGAAAGGAGGACAAAAGGGAGTTCCACACTGGCTGGGAATGGGAGCTCGGGAGGCTGAGCAGGAGAATCACAAGTTCAAAGCCCCAGCCTCAACAACTTAGGGTCTCACTATCTCAAAAGGGCTGCTGGGCACACGCCTGTAATCCTAGCAGCTCAGGAGGCTGAGGAAGGAGGATAATGAGTTCAAAGCCAGCCTCAGCAAAAAGCAATGCGCTGAGCAACTCAGTGAGACCCTGTCTCTAAATAAATAACAAAAAAGGGCTGGGGATGTGGCTCAGTGGTCGGGTGCCCCTGAGTTCAATCCATGGGAGTTCCACTTTGTTACCCTTGCCCAGAGTTGGGGACAACTCTCAGTGGTAGGGAGCTACCTTAGGCAGCTATCCTGTTCCCAATGTTAGTTCCTTAGTGCCCTGGTTCCCTAGACCCAGTTCCATAGGTTGTCAGGTCCCTGTTCCGCAGGAGGCAGCATGCAGACATAAAAGTGAGGCATGAACTAAGGGCCCAGATGTCTGCTGCTCCGAGATCTGAACGGGTTTCTCTTAGGGTCCTAGGATTACTTCCTCCCATCACCTTCATTCTTCTCAGTCCTCTGAGGAGGCTTCAGGATGAGTTTGGGAGGAGTGGCTGCTAAAGGAGGAGCAGCTGCACTGAGTCATGGCAGGAAGCTGAAGGGGGCGGGAGATAACAACAGGCAACATATAAAAGGGAGCCAGAGTTGGCCCTGAAGTTCACAATAGCAGTAGCAGCAGCCGGAGCAGCAGGGTTCCTGCAGCAGAGCCCTTCCTTCACATCCAGGTCTGCCTGAGACAACCCAGCTTTTAGGTGGCCGGTGACCAGTCCTTGTTCCAGGATGGGGACCATGGCCAGAGTAGCCTTGGTCTTGGCCTATTTGGCTGTCGCCTCTGCCACTTCTGAGGGAGGTGAGTAGGGGTGGGGTCAGCACTAGAGAAGGGCTCTGGCTAGGCAGCTCATCACCAGCAGGATGACTTGGCCTCCCTCTTCTGAGCAGGCCCAAGGTTGGCCTGGCCAACTGGACCTTTTAACCAGGGAGGCAGGGGCAGACAGAGAGGAGTTCCTAGAGGTTACTGCTAAGAAATAAAATTGGATTCAAGTAGGCAACTGAGCGGGTAAGTGGATTCACAGAGGGAAGGGAACTCAGCCTGGGGAGGAGGTATGTGGTGGAGGGACTCCCTCCGAGGCAGGTGAAGCAGGGAAAGGGGCCCCCAGGCTGCTCAAAACCGGTTTGCTGACCCAGAGAGCCTTGCCTGACTCACTGTCTGGTTAGAGGAAGAGTTAAGGGGTTGTCCACTCAGTCTCACCCACTGCTGGGCATAAACACACTCTGCTTTGATGCCTCAACGAAACGGAACTCTGGAGGGAAACTGCCGAGAGGGGCAAGAGAGCTAGTGTGTAAAGCCCTACTCGCTATCATCCCTCCCAGTTCCTAACTTCTTTTTTTTCTGCACATCAGTCACCAGAGATTCCCTTCTCTATGCCTGTCCCATCCTGCAGGTCCTAAATTTGAGACCTAAATTGAGGAGGAGCTGAGACTAGCTAAAGTGAGGCACTTACTCTCCTGGCTGGAGTTCCTTCTCAGGAGGCCTAAAGAGGGTTAAAGGGCCTGGCATAGGAGATTGGTGGAGGAGGTGGGCAGGTGAGGGCTCAACCAGCTCAGGTTCGGCTTCTTCCTCTAAAGTCAGAGGGGCACCACAGCAGAGCAGCTACAGGAAGGGCAGCCACAACCCCTGAGGTAGAGACACTGACAGGAGAAATCAGAACCTCCCTCCCAACCTTCAGACTCAGTCTCTGAGCCAGGCAGAATATCCAGGCTTTCTCAGAACCCTGTCAATAATATCCAGGTGTTTGTGGGGGTGATGAGGGGACATGGGACAAGTATATTATAGAGGTAATTGCCACGTCTTGTCATCTTCCTACACTCTTGACTTCCACAGTCTCCCCATTCCTTGCTCAGAGCCAGAAAGGGCCCCTTAAAACCACCGCCGATTTCCTCTCTCCAGGTCACGAGGCTCCAGGGCAGAAGGAGCTGAGATCAGAGTACCTTCAGGAAGGTAAGAGTTCGGGGACCAGGTGTGGTGGCCCTCTTCTGTAATCCCAGCACCTAGGGAACCTGAGTCAGGAGAATCACAAATTCAAGGCCAGCCTCTGCAATTTATCAGGATCCTGCCTCTTTTTTAAAGAGGTAGGGGTATGACTCAGGGGCTGAGTGCCCTTAAATTCAATCCACACTGTGCAAGCAAAGAAAGAAGTTTAGAAGAGCAACTATGGAACTGAGAGTCCAGGAGGAGCAGGGGGACTCAGAGTTTCTCCTCTTGTCTCTAGCTGGCTACGCAGCACCTCCCTCCCCACCACAGGCCCGAGGCTTCCCCGTGTATCACCTTGACCCTTCCCAGCATGACCTTCCTTTTGAGGGACAGAGGGAAGGTAAGGCCCCACGTGCCCTTCTTAGTTACCCCCTCAAGTCTCTAATCTGAGATGCTCTGGCTCTCAACACGGGAAGGAGGGAAGCAGCTCCACCCCTCTCCCCACTGGCTAGCAGGGGTGAGCTGCTCATACACTCCTCCTTCTATAGTACAGTCCCCTCCCTCTCCAGAAGCCATACCTGTCCAAGAAGAGCTGCCCCCTCCCCACCTCTCTAATGGAAAGAAAGGTGAGTGCTTGCCCACTTTCCTACCTCCCACTAAGATCTTGCTGACGTTGGTCTGCAGTCCTCCCTCCCCTCTGTCTTGCAGTGGATCCGCCTCTTCCTCCGGAAGCCATCCCCCTCCAAGAAGAGTTGCCCCCTCCCCACCCCCGTACTGAACAGAAGGAAAGTAAGCAACTCCCTCTGCACACACCACCTTCACCTAGCCTTACCCTAGAGCAAGGGCCTTGAAGGCACACAAAACAGGCACTGCCATTTCCCATTTAAGTAACCTGGCATGACTCAATTACCAAGCTTTAGTTTCTTCATGTATAAAACTGAGGAAATAATACCTGTTTGATAGTTATGATTAAATGACACAAAAATAGCATTTATTTTCACTTCTCTACTGCGTTCCTCTTTATGAATGGGGGCTAGCCAGGTGCCTATCTTCTACAAATGCCCATCCCAATGTGATATTTGCTTATACATCTCCTTCTACCCCAGTAGACCCACCTTTCCCATACCAGAAGGAGATTTTCCATTCCCAGCAGAGAGAGGGTGAGTGACAGCATCTGTCTGTCCATACCCTTGCATGACTACTCAGGACTCCAGGGAGAGGAGCAGGGAAACAGCACAGGGAGCAGAAACGTGGGAGGAAGGGACAACTCTGAGGGTGACACTTTTCATGCTTCAATTCTTTTTTCCTTTCAGTCAGTCAATCCGAAGGTAAGAACCACAGATTAATTTCTTCATTTTCCCTTACCCTCCTAACCCTTTCTCCTTAACCCCCAGTTCTTTCAATCCTCCCAGTTCACTCAGCCTTTGTCAGTTCCTCCCATCCTCTCTCTTCCCCCTCTGTTCCCCATTCTAGAAAAGCCAGCTCCCCCCATGCGCCAGGATCCCCCAGAGCCTCACTCTTGGAATCCAGCCCAGCACTGCCAACAGGGCCGGTTCCGGGGGGGCTGGGGATACCGGCTGGATGGCTTCCCCCCTGGGCGGCCTTCTCCAGACAATCTGAACCAGATCTGTCTTCCTGAACGTCAACATGTGGTGTACGGCCCCTGGAACCTGCCACAGTCTGGCTACTCCCACCTCAGTCGCCAGGGTGAGACCCTCAATTTGCTGGAGACTGGATACTCCCGCTGCTGTCGCTGCCGCAGCCACACCAACCGCCTGGACTGTGCAAGGCTTGTGGTAAGATGCTGGGGGTGTCCGTAAGCCCCCAGACAGCATGTGTGTGTTTTAAGGGGTAGACACCTAGGCCTGGGAATGGAGGAACCTCAGGTCCCGTTGCTGGCCCTACCTTGGACCTCTCCAGTAGGAAAGGTAGAGGGCAGCCACTGCTGTTTTCTTCTCCACCTGTCCGGGGTCCTTTCCTGCAGCCTGGGAGGAAGGCAAGGAATATGGACAATGAGTTACTGGGCCTGACCCACCTTCTCACTCTAGTGGGAGGATGCAATGACCCGGTTCTGTGAGGCCGAGTTCTCAGTCAAGACCCGACCCCACTGGTGCTGCAGACAGCAAGGGGAGGCTCGATACTCCTGCTTCCAGGAGGCAGCTCCCCAGCCACACTACCAGCTCCGGGCCTGCCCCACCCACCAGCCTGGTATTTCCTTGGGCCTGGAGCTGCCTTTTCCCCCTGGGATGCCCACATTGGACAATTTCAAGAATGTCTGCCACCTGAGACGCTTCCGCTCCGTGCCACGCAACCTCCCAGCCACTGATCCCATCCAAAGGCAGCTACATGCTCTGACTCAGCTGGAAATGGAGTTCCAGCGCTGCTGCCGCCAGGAAAACAACCTTACCTGTGTATGGAAGGCCGTAAGTGGGCATCCCAGGCCCCTGAGAGCCTGTCTGCATCTCCGACCTCTGCATCCAACGGTCCATCCATGTACTCCCTGTTGTGAGCACGTCCACGTTCGTCTGCTTGTGACTGTCCGTCCACCCGTTGTGTCCATCATCTGAATCTGTGCATCTTGAGCCTTTATATTACGTCCTGGTCTCATCTAACCATGACCCCCCCACACGTCCACCTGTCTGCCACCCGTCCATCCAGCTCTGACCTCACCTGATCACCTACTGATCACATACTGTTCCAGCTCGTCTCCCGTGGCCAACGCAACCTCCTCTGTGCTTCCTCCCTTCCACCTTCCCAGCCCACCCATCCATAGCTGTCTCCTCGCCCACTGGCTCTTTGCCCTCCCTTTGACCCCTTGGGTTGGAGTCCCTCATTTCAGAACTGGGGGTGATAAGGGGAGTAGATGGTGAGGAGAGAAGGGACCAAGTGTCCAAGCTTCTGACTTCTCTCTCTGGCCCACAGTGGGAGGATACCCTGGATGGGTACTGTGAAAAGGAGCAGGCTACAAAGACCCACCACCACTCCTGTTGCCACTACCCTCCTAGCCCTGCCCGTGATGAGTGCTTTGCCCATCAAGCTCCCTATCCCAACTATGACAGGGACATTTTGACCCTTGACCTCGGCCGAGTCACTCCCAACCTCATGGGCCATCTCTGTGGAAACCGAAGAGTTCTTACCAAGCAGTGAGTCTTGCTCAGATCTTCCCCAGTACTCCTCCCTTCCTTCTGGTGTGCCCTTTGAGGAAGGGAAAAAAAAAATAGTCTCCCTGTACCGCTCGGGTGCCAAGAGACGCCCAGAGATCCTGATCCCTGCCTCTTTCACACCAACATAGTAAACAGATTCCTGGGCTAATCCAGAACATGACTGCCCGCTGCTGTAACCTGCCATTTCCGGAACAGGCCTGCTGTGCTGAAGAGGAGGTAAGTGTGTGAGGAAGGGGTCACAGTCTCCAGAGGAATGCAGGAGAGGGGGAGGAGGGGGCTATAACTGCAGGCTGCCCCTTTTTCTTTAGTACCTCAAATCAGCCCACAGAAACAATGAGGACTTGAGGAAGAGGTCTTTTTTTCCTTGGTTCTAGAGTCTTCATTCCTGATCTGGTCTGCTCCCCACTCCTAAGTTCCTATTATGCCTTCTCTGGGCGTCAGAGCTTCCTGGCATTTACAGATGTGCACATCTGTCAGCCACAAGGAATCCAGCTGTGCAAGGCAGGCATGCACTATCTCTGGGTTCCAGGAAGGGATCCCAGGGGTGAGCAGTACAAGCTGGCCAGAGGAGGACTTTGGGCACCCAAGTAGCCACACTGGATCTCTGACATTTCCCCACCCCCATCATCTCTGCTTTTCTCCTTTTTTTAATATTTATTTTTTAGTTTTAGTTGGACACTATATCTTTGTTTTATTTTTAAGTGGTGCTGAGCATTGAACCCAGTGGCTCATGCATGCTAGGCAAGCGCTCTACCACTGAGCCACAGCCACAGCCCCTGCTTTTCTCCTTTTGTTCATCAGAAATCAGCCTTCGTGGATGATCTGTGTGGTCCCCGACGGAACTTCTGGAGAGATTCTGCCTTCTGCTGTGATCTGAGTCCTGGGGATGAACAGACCAACTGTTTCAACATCAATTATTTGAGGAATGTGGCTCTAGTGGCTGGAGACACTGGGGATGCCAGGGGTCAGGGGGAGCAGGTCCCAACAGGGGGAACAAATATCAGCCCTACCCCTGAGTCCAAGGAAGAATGAGTCACTCCAGAGCTTTAAAGGATCGGATGCAGGGAACCCCACCCTCCTTGAACATTCATTATAGTAACCACCCCTTGGATTTGGTGTCCTCATTGTCTGTAACACACAAACACACCCTCTAAGCCTGCTTGGATTTCCTTCATTGGCCCCTGAGGCCTACTGCCCTGCCCTCACTAAGGAGCAGAGGATGTTCCACAGGCTGTGGTGAGACCATAACTAAATGACTTAACTTTACTACTTGTCATTTTGAACTGATTCACACATTTTAAAGGGAGTGCAACCTTTTTTAGTTAGCTGTCCAATTTCAAGGTGAAAAAGATGCTTCATGCCTATATTTGGGTGTTTTTCTCTTGCTGTTAAAAGTTTTAGCATCATCTCCAATAATTTTATATGGGAGCCAACAGAATTTATGTTTAGTAATGTACTCCTTGAGCCTCAAAGAAAAACAAAGGAAATTGTCTAATAAAAAAATAAACACTAAAAAAAGAGTAGTTCACGTCCTTGATGAGTTCCCAAAATGCCACCACTCAGCCTGACATTTTACTTAATTTTGTGGTATTGGGAATCAAACACAGTGCCTCACAGTGAACTCTATCCCCAAACCAGCTCAGCCTTTTTTTTTCTTTTTTGTACTAGGTATTCAGCTCAGAGCCTCACCCATGGCCTCTGCCACTGAGCTACACCCTAGCCCTCAGACTGACATTTTAAAATCCCCATTTTTAATCTTTGAAGTTCATGCACTGATTTGTTCAACATCCATTTAGTGGACCCCTGTCTGTGTACTGTGAAAGAATCCCAATTAGCTAGGATTTACGGGCATGCACCACGGTGCCCCGCTGCCCTGGCGTTATTACCAGTCCATGAACCTGTTTGCGGGCATAACAACGTCGTGCTCTAGGCTGCCCCGGATGCAAGTGTGTTCCGAGCAGGACAGGACTAGGACAGGGTGAGCGTGGGCTTAGTGGCAGCAGGGTGTAGTGAGGATGGCCTCTCGAGGCGGGGTGGCCAGACCTTGTGACCACCAGGCAGAAGGATGCCTCTTGCAGAAGCATCAGGCTGGCGTCTTCCTCTCGGGTGCTGCTGAATGTGACTCAGTCGGAGGACGGACTTGGATCTGTTTCTTACAACGTCTAGCTGGCAGCGACCCCAAGCAGGAGCCCAGGAGGCCAGTTCCGAGGGTCGTGCCCATTCCCAGGGAAGTGGGGCTAGAATCCCCAGGCATACATTAGACCAGAAAAGGGGCGGTGACAGTGACTCTCAAGCCCTACGAAGCTGCCCCCAGGAAACCTGTAGCCTCAGGCTGGAGCTGAAAAAATGGCCCCTGGACCCCAGACGGCGCTGGGCCGCAGGGCGGGCCTGTGGAACCCACTGCCCAGACGCCGCGCGGCGGGACCAGATCTCCTCACCCGTCAGGGCGGGGGGCCAAGAAGGACGGTGCCGCCCCAACCTGGGCGAACTGCTCTCCAGTAGCTCCAGGCGACACCCGCCACTTCCCTTCCCTCCACAGTCTTTCGTTTTTTCACTCGTTTTCTGACCAGACGGTCTTCAGCCAGCCTGCGCCGGCAGGTCTCCCCACCTTGTCAGCACGAGAGTCAGCGAGCGGGAAACCCTTCAGCCTCCCACGCCGGCGAGATTGCGCCTGCGCGGCGTGGGGCGAGAGGCGCCTGCGCGGACGACGGGCGAGGCGCCTGCGCGGACGACGGGCGAGGCGCCTGCGCGGCTGGGAGGAGGGGCGGGGCGGGGCGAGTGCTCGGCGGGCTCCGCGGGTGTCCGCCGCCGCCTGCGTCCTGGCCGGGTCCGAGCGGGCCTCGGGCATCCGGTTGCGTTCTGGCCGGGGGCACCCGACCCCGGACGGGAGGTCCCGCCCACAGAGACAGCTGTTTTCGCTGGCTGCGCCCGGAGACTTTCTCGCGCCCCCGGCGTGGAGCCCAGCGCTGCAGCGGAGCTCTTCTGAGCTCTGGCCACGCACTGGGTCGGGAGGGGAGGAAAGGAACCCCACACGGTGACGGGGTGGCTGTGAAGCCCAGTGCTGGGAGTTAACACCAACGCCTGGGCACCAGCCAACATTTTTTTTTTTTTTTGGTATTTTCTTTTGCATTTAATTTGTTCATCTCCATTATACGGAATGATGGATTTCATTGCGGTGCAGTAGCACAATGTAGTATATATAAAAATACAGTTTGATCAATTACATTTTTCTGTACCCCCCCCCAGCTCCCCCTGCCCCCTCCTCTACATTAATGGTCATTCTACTTCGTGGTGTCTCTTTTTTCCCTTTTAGCTTCCACATATGAGGGAAAACATAACTTTTGTCTATGAATTTGGCTTATTTCCCCCAAAATGCTCATCTATATTTCTGCAAATTACATAATTTTGTTCTTCGTTATGGCTGAAAAAAAACTCGATTGTGTATATATACTACATTTTTTTGATTCATTCATCTGTTGATGAACACCTAGGCTGATTCCATAAATTGTCGTTTTGAATTATGCTGCAGTTAACATGGATGTGCATGTATCTCTAAGGAACTATTAATGGAGGAGGTGAGTTTGGATGGAGCCTGGAAGCAAGGGTAAGATTTTTGTTAGCAAGAAAAGGTGACAGTGTTAACATTTACAGCAATTAGTTGTATAAATAAACTATTAATATGTAATTTGTTCAGTTTAGGGGTGGAAGATAAAGGAGTCAGAGCTCTCTTAACTATGTAGAGAAATGGGCGGAAGCTTTGTTGAACCACAATGTGAAGAAAGACCACCCACTCAAATTTAAACCAAATTAAAGCAAGCTTATATTGTGTACATAAGAGAGCTGATCAGGGACTGTCTCACCCAGAAAAACAGGGCCAAAGAAAAGTAGCTCGTCTGATTACAGGGAAGTTTTTATAATACAAAAAGAGAGGTGTCTTGGGAGCTTACAGCTGACAGGGTTCTGGCAAGCATTATACAAGGGCAGACAGCAGGTAATGATCTACATTGTTTTAACATCTCAAGGTGGGCAGCAGACTCAGTCCAACATCAGAGTTAAGCAGGAGCAGCTGGAATATCAGGGAGGGTTGTCATCTGGTCAAGGAGAGCCAGGCATGGGGAAGTTCAAAGCAAGGGCAGGAATCCCAAGCAAATTATGGTCAGGCCAAATAGAAATCTTAGTATTTTACAGTAAAACAAATGAACTTTTCATGACTTTGTGATGAAATGGCTTCCAGTCTTAAGATGGCATTAGCCTGGGCTGGGGATGTGGCTCAAGCGGTAGCGCACTCGCCTGGCATGCGTGTGGCCCGGGTTCAATTCTCAGCACCACATACAAACAAAGATGTATGCCTGCCGATAACTAAAAAATAAATATTAAAAAATTCTCTCTCGCGCGCGCGCTCTCTCTTTAAAAAAAAAAATGGCATTAGCCTGGGTTCGGTTCATCAGCTTCACAAGGAATTCAAGCTTAAGTAGGATTTTGTTAGAAAGGAAGGGAAATGTGTGCAAAGCATTGGCTGTATATACAAAGTTCATCTAAATAAAACACAATCCTTTTTGTGTTAGGCAGAGTGCAAAATATTCTAAAAATAAAAAGGACCGAAACACCATTTTTTTTTTGAGAATTTTTAATATTTATTTATTTTTAGTTATCGGCGGACACAACATCTTTGTTTGTATGTGGTGCTGAGGATCGAACCCGGGCCGCACGCATGCCAGGCGAGGGCACTACCGCTTGAGCCACATCCCCAGCCCCCAAAACATTATCTCAAGAATGTTAGCTCTATAGAGAGTTTAATATCCATTAACATTCAATCCCCAGCACTACACACATACACCCACAAATATATATATCTACATTAACAGAAGTAAATATTTCTTTTTTAAAAATATTTTTTAGTTGTAGATGGACACAACATCTTTATTATTTATTTTTATGTGGTGTTAAGGATTGAACCCAGGGCCTCACACCTGCAAGGCAAGCACTCTACCACCGAGCTACAGCCCCAGCCCTATAGTAGATATTTCTGAAAGAGGAAGTAATCCACTTTACAAGGAAAGTAATTGAAATACCAGTTTGCTATTTGTTCTTGTGTTGCTTCTTTCTTCAGACTTTCTTTATATAAACCAACCTCTTCAGCTCAGCCCATAGGAATGCTCTTTTATGAAATGAAGGTTGCCTAATTCTAAGAATTGAAAATAAAGCCAGTTAAGATGTTTAGTTGTAATGCTGGATTTTTTTTGTTTAACAGTACTAGGGATTGAACCCATTGCCTCATATGTACTAGCCAAGCACTCTACCACCGACTTACATCCCCAGCCCTTTTTATTTTATGTCGAGACAGGGTCTGGCTAAAGTGCTCAGGCTGGGCTCCCAAGTAGCTAGGATTACAGGCATGCACCACCTCATGTGGCTTGTTTAGTTTGTTAAATGTGGTAAATTCATAAATTGACTTTCAAAAAGTTGCACTTAGCTTGCATACTAAAATAATCATAAACACACTTGGACATGATGTATCATTATTTTATTTATTGCCAGATTAAATCTCCAAATATTTTGTTTAGAATTTTTGTATAATTTCCCATGAATGGTTTCTTTTTTTAATTTTTTCTTTTTTTTTTAGTTATAGAGAGCACACTATCTTTATTTTGTTTATTTTATTTTATTTTTAGTTTTTGGCGGACACGACATCTTTGTTTGTATGTGGTGCTGAGGATCGAACCTGGGCCGCACACATGCCAGGCGAGCGCACTACCGCTTGAGCCACATCCCCAGCCCTTGTTTATTTATTTTTATATGGCGCTGAGGATCCAACCCGGGTCTCACACATGCACGGCAAGCGCTCTACCGCTGAGCCACAACCCCAGCCTGTAGTATTATACTTTTTCCTTCTCATACTTTTATCAGATTTTTTTTTTTATATTGGGGATTTAACTCATGGATGTTAAGACTGAGCTATATCCCCAGCCCTAATTGTTATTTTTTATTTTCAAACAGCCTCTCACTAAATTGTTAAGGGACTTTCTGAGTTGCTGAGGCTGGCTTTGAACTTGCAGTCTTCCTGACTTTACCTCCTGAGTCACTGGGATTGCAGGAATGTGCCAATATGCCTCGCTAGTTACATGTATTTTTAGTGTCATATCTCAGAAAACTTTCCCAAATCCAAGGTCACAAAGATTTATCCTTGCTTGTTTTCTTCTGTTTGTTTTTGTTCATTTATGTCTTATACTTAAGTCTTTGATCCATTTTGAGTTAATTTGAATATGTACTGTGAGGCAGGGCTCCAACTTCATTCTTTTGTAGGGTTTTCATTGTGCCATATAATAAAAAATATCATGGCTGGTCTAAGTCAATCATGGTCACCCTCTTCCTTTTACCTATCTGGGGTGGGCATATGACCCACTTTCAGCCAGAAACACACAGGAAGAAGACTTCAGGGAATTTGTGGATAAATTTTTATGGACTTGTGCAAGAAGGCTGTTCAGGAACCAGAGCCTTTTATCTGTGTTCTGATTTGGGATGATGTTATGTAAGGAAGTCGCACTTGAATTTGTGGCAGTCCTCTTTAGACTGAAGGAAAAGCTAAGAAAATTGCAGAGTTGGGCTGGGGATGTGGCTCAACGCCTGGCATGCGTGCGGCCCAGGTTGGATCCTCAGCACCACATACAAACAAAGATGTTGTGTCTGCCGAAAACTAAAAAATAAATATTAAAATTCTCTCTCTCTCTCTCTCTCTCTCTCTCTAAAAAAAAAGAAAGAAAAGAAAAGAAAGAAAGAAAGAAAAAGAAAAGAAAATTGCAGAGTTGTTGACTTGTGGCTCTTGATATTATTGAGCCACTTAAAGATCCAAGAGCCCTTTGCTTTAGGCATTATGGGTAAATCATAAACATCCGTATGGTTTCACTGTTAGTCAGGGTTTCTGTCATGTGTAACTCAAAGCATTCCTAACTGACATATCATCCCTAAAGAATTAGCTATAAATGTCATTTTCTCAGGGAGATATTCCTAAAGTCCCCAAATCAATATATCCTATAATACTCTAAAGTATCTCTCATTATAATTGTAATTATTTGTTGAATGGAGGTCTTTCTGCCTCTCCGAGAGCAGGGACTATGATGGATATCAGCAGTCTGGCCCAGTGCCATTCATGGTAGCCTCTAAATAAATATCTACCAAAAAAAGAAAAAAAGACTGAAGGGTCAAGAGCATAGGTGAAAGGGGAAATAGTCTTGAAGGGATAAGAATGAAAATTTTTAAAGCTTAATGAGTCATTAAAGAAGGATTAGAATGACCATTGTGGGAACTGGGTGTGAGCATTTGTCTGGTACAAGTAAGAGTTGCCAAGCTGTGTTAAAGACCCCACTGGGCCTAGAAACCCTAAATGCATTGGCATAAATCGGCAGAATTCTGAGGTTTCCCCAGCACTGTTCAACTATCTGGGCGTGGGAGAGAAGTTGGGTAATTAGATCAGTCCAAAGGGGTCTGGCCAGACAGGCTGCTTTTTTTCTTTTCACAGATTAAGTAAATGAAAATAAATGTGGAATTTTATTTCCATTGTCTCATTAAATGTAACCTTTTAGAACTTCAAGACTTTCCCTTGGCTCCAGACTCAGGACCACCCCAAGGCTGAAACACTCACCCCAGCCGTCCGTCTTCCACTGTTGCCCACTTGCCTAGTGAGGTCCTTGAAAAGGCTCAAGGGGCACCTGAGAATTTCCTAGTGTGTACAAAACTCTGTGTGTGTGTGTGGGGGGGGGGTGTGTGTGTGAGAGAGAGAGAGAGAGAGAGAGAGAGAGAGAGAATTGTATGTTTTTTTTTTCCCCAGGGAGAGTGTCTGTAGCTTCTACCAGATTTTCAAAGGAATTTGTGATTCAGAAAAGTAAGAGCCACCAACTTGGGGATAGGTGTTAGCCATGGGCCACCATTGCTATGGATCTGGACTTGACTGATGGTAGTCCCATCCGCTAATTGACTAGTGTGGGACTGTGGTGCAGAGTTTGAGGTACAAACTCAAGGCCCAGAGGCCTGAACTGGGCCACCTCAGGGAAGTTACTTTGTTCCTCAGTTTTTTCTTCTATAAAAGAGCCAGGCACAATGGCACAACAACTGGAAGGTTGAGGCAGAAGGATCACAAGTTCACCTCCTTAGCAGGAGCCTGTCTCAAAATAAAAAGGGCTGGGGGTGCTGGGGGCACTGGGGGCACTGGGGTTGTGGCTCAATGGTAGAGCACTTTCCTAGTACAGGTGAGGCACTGGGTTTGATCCTCAGCACCACATAAAACTAAATAAGTAAAAATAATAGCAGATTGGGCTGGGGATGTGGCTCAAGCGGTAGCGCGCTCGCCTGGCATGCCTTCGGCCTGGGTTCAATCCTCAGCACCACATACAAAGGAAGATGTTGTGTTCGCCGAAAACTAAAAAAAAAAAAAATATATATTAAAAATTCTCTCTCTCTCTCTCTAAAAAAAAAAAAAGAAGAAGAAGATTAAGTGAGTTGACACGTGCCAGTGCTTAGACCCTACCTGGTACTTAGCAGTGGCTGTTTTTGTATAGTGACTAATAGTGATTCAACAGGACAAACATTCAAGGACAAAGACTATTTTTGAGACATTCTTGCTATGTTGCCCAGGCTAGCTAAAACCCCCTGGGCTCTGGTGAGCCCCCAGCACTGTTCCCCCAAGCAGCTGGGACTACAGGCACTTCACCTCATGAAGCTAAAGACTTTGGGTTATTTTTGTGGTTCTGGAAATTGAACCCAGGGCCTTCTGGCAAGGGCCCTGCCACTAAGCAGTAGTCCCAGCCCAGGGCAAAAACTTGGATTGAGAAAGTAGCATTTAGGGGAGCACAGCTGCAACTAATTATGGGTAAAGCAGGGTAAGGGGTATATAGCTCAGTGGTAAAGCACCTGCCTAGCTTGGGCAAGGCACTGGGTTCGGTCCCCAGTATTACAAAAAATAAATAATTTTTGGCAGAGCACAACAATATAACCATTTTTCCCCTCTGATGCTTACCTTGTGATCCTAGGCAATTTCCTTTATCATTCTGTGCCTCAGTTTCCTCATCTGTAAAAAATGAAGATATTAATAATAACTACTTCTTAGGATTATTGTGGGGGTTCTATGAAGGCTCAAGGCAGTGACTCACACTCACTAAATGCTGGTTTTGTTACTGTCACTACCCAGTGCTGACAGTCAGTCTCCTCATCTTGATGAGACAGGCCCTCTCCATCAGGTTCCCACGGCCTTCCCTCACACTAGAACCTGCACAATACACAAAGCCCTTTCACACGTCCTGTGTGTCTCACAGATCCATGTAGACTAAGAAACTGGATGTACAAATGAATGGTGGCCGGCCCATATATAAAAATAGAACTCTTGGGGCTGGGGCTGGGGCTCAGTGGTAGAGCGCTTGCCTAGCATGTGCAAGGCACGGGTTTGATCCTCCGCACTACATATAAATAAATGAATAAAATAAAGATCCATCAACATCTAAAAAAAAAAATAATAGAACTCTTGGGCGGGGTTGTGGCTCAAAGGTAGAGCACTCCCTAACATGTGTAAGGCACTGGGTTTGAATCTCAGCACCACATTAAAATAAAAATAAAGATATTGTGTCTACCTATAACTAAAAAATAAACATAAAAAAATTAGAACTTGGGTGTGGCTGTGGCTCAGCAGTAGCGTACTTGCCTGGCATGTGTGAGGCACTGGGTTCGATCCTCAGCACCACATATAAACAAATAAATAAAATAAAGATCTATCAACAATTTAAAAAAAAAATTAGAACTCTTGGGGCTGGGGATGTGGCTCAGTGGTGAGAATATATGCTTAGCATATACAAGGCTCTGGGTTCCCCATACTGAAAATTTATAATAATAAATAAAAATAGAACCCTCACCCAGTTGTGGTGGTGTGTGCCTGTAGTCTCAGCTATGCAGGAGGATCACTTGATCCCAGGAGTTCAAGGCCAGTCCAGGCAATTTAGTGAGACCCTGTCTCAAAAGGGATGTGGACATAACTCAGGGATAGAGCACTTGCATAGCATGGGTGAGGCACAGGGTTCAATCCCCAGTACAGCCCAAAACTAACTAAATAAATAAATAAAATACAGAGGAAGTCAGACTAGAAAGAGGCCAGATTGCCAGTGAGAGTTGAGGAAGCAAAGCAATAAACTCTATAAAACAATCAGCCCCAAATGACCAGAACTTGATTAATAACTGACAGTTTCCCTAATTTGTATCCTCCCTTGCAATTTAGGAGCAAGCAGAGAAAGCAGAAGACACACCCTTGATAATCACACAGGGATGCCTCCCTTTCTGGTAGCATGCCTGGGTCTTCCAGGCCCACAGCCTCTAATCAGGGCACACCTGAGGCCTCCCTTTTCCACCAGAAATCCTTCTCACTCCTTGAACCACCTTTGGATCTCTGCCGAAATTCAAGTGACTGTGAATTTTGTAGCAAGTGACAGCTTGCTACTGCACGCTCAGAATAAATAGCTTTACTTTTCCTATTTTGTTGGTCAGCATTTATCCCCAAGACCCTGGACTGAACAGGCCAGGAGCAGAGGCTCCCCTGGGTGGAGCTCTAGCCCTCAGACCGCAGGGTTGCTGGCTGTTTCACTGGAAACGCTGAGCAGACCTTTGGACTCAGCTGAGCTGCAGCTGCAGAGGCCAACTGACTCAGATAGAATCCCCCAGGCCTACATCACAAAAGAGTTTTTGTTAGATGCTGATTGGGAGGGAGTGGCTCCAGAGACGTGGGAAGAGGGCAGGCTAGGCAACAGAGGAATGAGGCAGGACCTCCGCCTGGGTCAGGAGCTAGGGACTGCCGTCAGCCACCTGTGGTCGGTCACAGGATTGAGATTCTCCTCGGATCCCCACTAGGGTCCTTTATTCCACGGCTACTGGCTGGGTGCCCAGTGCGTGCCAGGCCCTGTCCAGGTGCTGAGATGTGGCAGGCAAGGAGGCTACTGCGCAGCATGATGCCTAACAGTGAAGATAAACCGGAAATGACTGACAATGTAAGGTATTTTCAGAAGTGGCAGGTGTCCCCAAGGGGGCAAAGTAAAAATAAAAGGGGATATTAGAAAGGGTGCTCGGGGTGGAGAGCAGCATTTTGAGGGTTAGGAATGGCCTCTCAGAGGAATGACATTTGCACTGACATCTGAATGACCCGAAGAGCCAGCAAAGCAACCGGCAGGGGAAATAGCCTTTCAGGCAGAGGGAACAAATTAAGCAATGACCCTGAGGTGGGACTGGATTTTGGTTTTGTTTGTTTGTTTGTTTGTTTTGGGTCCTGGGGATTAAAAGCAGTGCTTTTCCACTGAGCCACATCCTCAGCCCTTTTTATTTTCTGAGACAGGTTCTCAGTAAGTAGCTTAGGGCCTCGCTAAATTGCTGAGGCTGGCTTGAAATCTGTGATTCTCCTGCATCAGCTTCCCCATCCCATGCCTGGGATCACAGGCCTGTGCCACCCTGCCTGGCTGGAACTGGATTTGACATGATCGATGATGAGCAGTGATGGGCGAGGTCAGGCAGGAGGCCTTCTAGGTCATGGGAAGAACTTCAGCTGGGCGTGGTGGTATGCACTGTAGTCCCAGCTACTTGGGAAGCTGAGGCAGGAGGATCACAAGTTTGAGGCCAGCCTCAACAACTTAGCAAGAGCCTGTCTCAAAAAATTAAAAGGGCTGGGGACTTGGCTCAGTGGTAGAGCACTCCTGAGTTCAATCCCCAGTAACACAAGGAAACAAATACCAAAACAAAACCCGAAGCATCATTAGGGATGGGGCTGGGAGCGAAGCTCAATGACAGAGCATGTTTTTAACAAGTGAGGCCCTGGATTTGATCCCCAGCACCACAGATAAACAAACAAAAAGAATTTATGTTTTTTTTTTTTTTTTTAAGAGAGAGAGAGAATTTTTTAATATTTATTTTTTAGTTTTCGGCGGACACAACATCTTTGTATGTGGTGCTGATCAAACCCGGGCCGCACGCATGCCAGGCGAGCGCGCTACCGTTTGAGCCACATCCCCAGCCCGAATTTATGTTTTATTTTATTCTAAATATAATGAAAAGCTATTGAAAGAAGGTGTTAAATAGCTGTCTCCTCACTTTAGCTATCTTGTCAAGGACTTAAAGGAGGTGCTTGGTTGGAATCCTCTCAAGATCCCAGAGGGTAGGAGACATGGTGGGGAAGAGGGACAGGGTTTAAGGAGATCCAGTGTAGATCAGCCCCAGATGCTGTAAGCCACAACCAGAATACCTTCCTGAGGAGAATAAATGAGTTATGTGTGAACCCCTGAAGCTGTCAATACTTTCACGTGGCCCTATTTCAGGGAAAGAACCCAGAGTGTTTTTTTGTTTTTGTTTTCTCACAAAAATGTGGACTGTGTCACAAATTTGTGTGTCATCCTTGGGCAGGAGCCATCTAATCTCTGCATCAGAACACAGAGCTTTAATCAGCACCTCCGGGAGACTCTGTAATCCAAGAAAGGCAGAGAAAGGAGAGTACTGACACGTGAGCTGTGTGTTTGCATATGCACAGGCCGCCTCAGCAAAGTCACAAGGTGTCACCTCAGAGGAGGGGAAGGGAGGGCTGGGGGAGGGTATGCTGGAGATGTATACACACACACACACACACACACATATATATATATATTTTTCATATGGAATTGAACCCAGGGACACTTGACCACTGAGCCACATCCCCAGCCCTTTTTATATTTTATTTAGAGACAGGGCCTTGCTAAGTTGCTGAGGCTGGCTTTAAACTTGCAATCCCCCTGCCTCTGCCTCCTGAGCCACTGGGATTACAGGCCTGCGCCACTGTGCCCGGCTTGCTGGACTTATTTTATGAAAGACTGATCCCGGGCAAAAACAAACGGGGAGGGCCTGTGCTGTGGAGCCCCTGAGATCCTCCTGTGTCAGTGTCCCATGTCTCCTGGGTTGCTCTTAACTGCTTTTATAAAGGGTCCATTTCCAGTGTGTTGGCTGGCTTTCACTAAAGGCTCACCTTATTCTGCCTGTTACCTGTGCCCAGCCTTCCCAGCAGACAGAAATGGAGGTAGGAATGTTCTCTTTAGTGTCTCCAGAATCTTGGCTTGGATTGGCTTTGCCTCACCATAAATAGGCTCTGGCTGGCTTTCAGGACCCACCTGTTCTCAGTCATCCGTCAGTGGGCAGCGACGAGCCCCTCTTGGTGTTCAGATCCCTAGTAATCTGGGGCCACGAGCCAGGGAATAGAGTCAGCTGCTGAAGACAGGTCCCTGGCAGGCTGCAGAGCAGATGGGGTCCTCCTGGCTCCAGACTCGGAGAATGGACTTGAGGGTGGCTCAAGGTCAATTAAATCAAAGAGGCGCGCTTCTCGGGCTGTGGAACAATCCAGACTGCTCAACAGCTTCATGCTGAGACCTGAAGAATGGCTTCCTTTGAAGGGTGAGAGCATAGTTAGCCATACTTGTATAGACAAATAGTGTTTGAATGTTCAAACTCTAAATCATAGTATCTGCCACCACTTGAGGGGGAATTACTGTGGGCCAGGCACTGTTCAAGTGAGAACTTTGTGTGTATCATCTCATTTAAACCCCACAGAACACTGACCCAACAGCATGGTCCATACTTCCCGACACACATCTGGCCAGGGAACTGAGCATTGCTGCTCATAAATAAAAACAAAGTGACTCACCAGAGGTCTCACAGACATCTGCTGATGGATCCGTCCACACCCAGGCCCTGGAGAACAAAGGTCCACAGGTGACTTAGACCACTCTGCAGGGCCAGGGCTCCTCCCTCTGCGGTCACTCACTGACCCTGTGGCCTAGGGCAGCTCCTGACTTCCTGGGCTGTTTGCTTTGCGACATAAGGGGATGGCTTATGCTCCTTCATGTCCCTGCCTGCTCTGGGGAGCTGTAGGTTCCCCTGGGTAAGAGCACCCGCTCCTTCCTTAGGGTACCTGAAACCCAGCCTAACTTCCTGTCCCTCGCCCTTCCTCAGTCAGGAAAGGAGTTAGAGTCCAGAGACTACCGTTCTGCCCCCCAACATGCCTCATTTCCTCGTGTGGTAAATGGAAGTGATGCCCACTGGCACACTCCTATTTCATGAAATTTTAAGACTGGCAAATGATGTCATGAATCATAAAAGCCTTTGTGGCTCAGTGGTGGAGTGCTTGCCTAGCATGTGCAAGGCCCTGGATTCCACCGCCGGCACCACAGCACAAAAGTCCTTGAAGACTGAGGTACTGGCCAGGGGTGGTGGCGCATGCCCGTAATCCCTGCAGCTTGGGAGGCTGAGGCAGGAGGATCATGAATTCAAAACCAGCCTCAGCAACTTAGTGAGGCCCTAAGCAATTTAGCAACATCCGTCTCTACATAAAATATTTTTTAAAAAGGACTGTGGATGTGGCTCAGTGGTTAGACGTCCCTGGGTTCAGTCCATGGTACAAAAACAAAAAACTGAGGTGATGCACTTGAGCTGGGGAGAGAAAAGAGAAAATAATGAGTTTCAAAATGCCTGAGGCAGCTCCTGGGAGGCTGAGACAGGGAGATCTCTGCCACACTGGCCAAGACAAGGCACCAGGGAGTGTTCAAATACTTGGCCAGTTTGGGAGCCTGGATGTGAAAAGAGTCCAGTTGAAGAGATGGGCCGAAGGCAGAGTGGGAAACCCCGAGAGCCAGGTGCATGTCTTGGCCTGAGCAGGTCCCAGTTCCCATCTCCAGAAGAGCAACTTCTTGTAACTGAAATTCTATTAGGGGGCCAGTGTCACCCAGTCAGTGTGCCTGGCCACAGGTGGGACCTGCAGACAGTCGAGCCTGTGCCTTGGTGAGAGGGGTGAGCATGGGTCACCTCCTGTCTCAACCTGCATCTCGGCAGCAAGCCCAACCCCTAAGTTCTGATCTCCGTTGCCGTTGCCTGGTGTCTACTTCACCTTTCCTTCTGTGCTTGCTCCTGCCTTCAGCTACTCTAGGGACTTTCTCATTCCTTAAATTGGACACTTTCTTCTCAGTTTGTGTCCCTGGTTCACTTGGGACAATGGCCTAGGGGACATTCCTAAGCATTTTTCTCAAGTCTCCTCCTTGTGCATGTATTCCACAAGAAGTGACTAAGATCTTATCACTGTGTGTGTGTGTGTGTGTGTGTGTGTGTGTGTGGCACCAGCATAACAAACACAAAGCCATGCCCCCAGCACTTTTTAGTTTGAGATAGGGTCTTGCTAAGTTGCTGAGGCTGTCCGTGAACTGGCAATCCTCCTGCCTCAGCCTCCTGAGCAGCTGGGATCATAGGCCTGTGCCACCGTGCTTGGCCTCAGATCTCGAATGTCAGATCCTGCCAAGGAAACCCAGACATGGGAGGCAAGGCCGTTGCTCTTAAGAAGTTATAATCCAATTATTGAAGTGGTGAGGACATGGATGCAGCCTCCCTACCGTCACACCGTGGTATGAGCGCCATGGATTTTGCAGGCTGAATACAGCTGGAAGGAAGAAGTCATGCCAGGGCCAGTCATCGGCTTCCTGGAAGAGGTGGCATCTGAGCCACTTGAGGAATGAGTAGGATGTGAGGTTAGAAAGGACAGAAGGCATTCCATGGGTGTCACGGGTAAAGTGTTAAGCTTTTGCATTGATCAATGTCATTCACACAGGAGGAGAGGAGAGCTTAGTCAGGAAGGGGACCCGCGAATATGTGAAGAAGAAACCTGTTGGCTTAAAAGACCAGGACTTCATGCCTATATGAAAGTCTGAAGCTAACCCTGTTTGCCCCGGAAGCCAAGGTGAGTCACGGCGCATCCTGGGTCCCCATTTGTTTACCTGTAAAGTGAAGGGCCTGGGTTGGAATGGTGGCACATGCCTGCAATCCCAGTGGCTCGGGATAAGTAAACAAATAAGAGACTGGGCAGGAAGATATTTAAAGTTCTTCACTATTCTAGAATTGCTGGGAGCCATTAGCCAAGTAGGTATGACAATTTCCTTGCCAGCGTACCCCATGTTGCAGTGACATTGAATGTACGTGACCTTGCTCAAGGACCAAGGCAGATTAGGGTGTTCCCGGTTTTAAGATAATCTTGTTTAGGGCGTTCCCAGTTTAGGTTCCAGGTTTAAGGTTTAAGATTATTCCTGCTGGGAATAGGGCGTATCCTGCTGCCTGAGTTCCCCTTGAGTTCTCACGGGATTCAGACAGTATATTTTGGAGATAGAAGCCCAGTGGAGGTGAATTTGGGAGAGAAGGAGGATTTGGGAAGAGAACGTGGATTTCCCCAGAACGTGATTGTAGACGGCTGGTGTGAGTTCGGGAATAAAGAGTTGCTGTTTGAATCTACAAGCTGTGTGGTGGCTCGTGATTGTGTGCCCAGCCAGACTGCGGCATTTGTGCCCAGCCAGACTGCGGCATTTGGTGGCTTGTACGGGGAACTTCTGAAGCTTGGAGGTAAGTGAAATTGCTCGCCCCTGAGGAAGAGCGAAAGAATGGGTGACCAACTCAAAAAACAATGTGTTATTGTTTTGATTTATCTTGTTTTTGTTTCAAGCTGCCTATCCCTAGAAATTTCTCAGGCAAACTGGAAAAAATGGTTGACTAAAGGTTTGAAGTTTGTCGGCCCTGAGGAAGAGAAAATTGATACAACGATTTTTTATTCCGTTTTTGTTTCATTCAGTTTCGGCTTTGTTTTGTGCTATCTTATTGGGTTGCGTTATCTTTATAGTAGATTAGAAATTAGTAAAAAACAAACCGAAAAGATGTTAAGTAAATTGTTAGAGGTTCAGACCATGGAGAAAGACATTTTAGATCAAGCAAAAGAGAAGGTCTCTCGAGCTAGTCAGACAGAGGAAGAAAATTTAAAGGAAAAGGGGTTGTTAGGAAAAAGGCCACAACAGGAGGCTGTTACTAACTCCATTTTATCACAAGAGGGCATAATTCAACCAACAGCCCCACCGATGGAGACAGCTGAGTGGCCCTCAAACCCCGTAGTTGATAAATGGGATCCTGAGACAGGACCTCAAAGATTAGCATGCCCTGTACTTGAACAGGCAGGAGGGCAGCGAATTCACCGTGCTTTAGATTTTAAAACAGTGAAGCAGTTAAAGGAGGCTGTAACAACCTACGGGCCCCAAGCTCCCTTCACGGTAAGCATGGTCGAGTCCATTACTAACTTGGACATGACGCCAGCAGATTGGGCTAGCATGTGTAAATCTGTACTAAATGGAGGACAATATTTGTTATGGAAGGTTGCCAATGAGGAATTTTGTGCGGAGACAGCTAGGCGAAATGCAGCAGCCGGTTACCCTCAAAGAAATCTAGATATGTTGTTAGGAAAAGGACCTTATGAGGGTCAACGGCAACAAATTGAATATGATCCTGCTATATATGCACAAATTGCTGCAGACGCAGTTAGGGCATGGAAGACTTTACAAGGACATGGAGATTTACAAGGTCAGCTATCTAAGGTAATACAGAGAGCTAATGAACCTTACGCTGACTTTGTAGATAGGCTAATTCAAACGGCTGCCAAAATTTTTGGGGATACAGAACAAGCAATGCCATTAATAAAACAACTGGCTTATGACCAAGCAAATCGTTGCTGCAGAGAGGTTATTAGACCATGGAGACATGAAGATTTAAACACATATATTAAATTATGTAGAGATATTAATGAACAAGGGCAAGTCTTGGCAGCTGCAGTACAACAGGCTTTAGATGCCAGGCCAAAAACATGCTATGATTGTGAACAAACAGGACATTTTAAAAGGAATTGCCCCATAGGAGGAGGGTTTAACAAAAGTAGGTATCAAAGGAATAGAATACCAGGTATTTGCCCACGATGCCGTAGAGGGAGACATTGGGCTAATGAATGCCGTTCTCAAACCACCATAGAAGGTACTCCCTTATCAAAAAACGGACAAAGACCAGGTATTTATCCAAGATATCGTGGAGAAAGGCATCAGGCTCCATTGCCAAAAAACGGACAGGGGGGCCCAATGCTCCGGGGCCCACAACCACAAATATACGGGGCAGTGGAGGATCCCAGCAACACCATCAGGGTAGTGCCCAGGACACATTGTCCATTAAATCCCTCATCAGACAAACCCGAGGGAGCGCAGGGTTGGACATCTGTGCCTCTGCCAGAGCAGTATTAACTCCAGAGATGGGAGTTCAAATCATTCCCACAGGAGTAAAAGGACCTCTTCCCCAAGGAACAGTAGGCTTATTACTGGGACGTAGTTCATCTACATTAAAAGGACTTATGATAAGTCCTGGGGTAATTGATCCCGATTATGTAGGTGAAATAAAAATTATAGCTAGTTCTCCAAGAGGTATATCAGTAATTTCACCTGGAGATAGAATAGCACAGTTGTTAATAATACCCAGCCTACATAATAAATTTCCTAGTCATAGTGTAGAAAGAGGTTCCAGGGGATTAGGCTCCACAGGTGTAGATTGGGCTATGTTGTCTTTAAATTTAGATTCTCGCCCAATGCTAAAACTAAATATTCAAGGTCATGAGTTTAATGGGCTACTGGACACAGGAGCTGACCTTAGCATCATATCTCGTCAAGAATGGCCAAAACATTGGCCATTACAACAAGCCACTCAAACGCTTCGAGGCCTAGGAGTGGCGACTAATCCCCATAGAAGTTCTATGATATTAGATTGGAAGGATCCTGAAGGATGTGAAGGAACTATACAGCCATATGTATTGGATCATCTTCCTATAAATTTATGGGGACGAGATGTCCTAGATCAAT